AAGGGTTGTAGAGAAGTACAGTAGGTTGGGAATATGGTTACAGCTAGGCCCAGTGTTTTTTTTTAACTCTGAGATATACATTTCCCAGGCTGTCTGAGATTGCTAAGAGTTACACTCCCAGGCAGCTGCTGCTATTTGCACTGCTCTCCTTAAAGGGACACTATGGTCACCAGAACCACTGTCCCTGCATGCTTTTCTATGCCAATCTATGCTGATTGGTGCAATGTGATGTTTTGCTGCACAAGCACAAAAGCCTCCCAATGATTTCCTATGGGAAGGCAGACATTGGATTGGCTGAGATCATCACAATTGATGATCTCAGAAATGTAAGCAGAGACATCAGGCCAGTAATGGGTAGACTAGCACGGCATGGGAGAAAAGGTGAGTCAAATTACCGGTTGCCTAAACAGCCACTTTAGGATTATAGTGGCAGGAATACATGTCTGTATGCCTGACACTATAGTGTTCCTTTAACCCCCTTGTGACGCATGACATAACTTTTACGTCATACTTGTCCTACCGTTAAGGACGCATGATGAAAATTTTTCATCATTTACTAATGTTAACCCCAGATCACTGTGATTGAAGCAAACGCGGGGTTAACACTGCTCCTGTCTGCCTCAGTATCCGAGCCAGACCAGGAGTGCCAAACGCACTGTCCCTGCAGCTATGATCACTCTGACACCCTGTCAGAGTGAGCACATTTGCTGCAGGGACTCCTGTTCCGCCTCCCTGCTCTTCCATGTTCAGTGTGAAGTGCAGGGGGACGGAACAGTGCTGATCCTTTTCACTCTGTGAAAAGATAAAGTTAGCTTAAAATCCCACCCCCCATTAGCTAGCTGGGGTGGGTGGAAGTTAGTGGAGAACTGGGGAATTTTATGTTAGTTTATCTTGGGGTTAACAGTAAAAAAAAGTTTTAAAAAAGTTTTAAAAAGTAAAAAAAATGTTTTAATAATGTTTAAAAATGTAAAAAAAAAAACACCCCGTTTACCCAATCCTAATAAAAATGAACCCCTTCCCTGCCAGTTGATCACTGCCTATAGTGATCAAAATACAGATCACAGTATTATACTGTGATCATTTTTTTTAACCCCCAAGGTTTAACTTTTATTTTTTTTTTTAACCCTCAGGGATTCAATTTATTTCATTAATTAATTTAAATATTTTAAAATATATATTTAGCTAGCTGGGGTGGGTGGGAGTTAGTGGGAAATTGGGGAATGTACTGTTAGGCTAGTAAGATGTTAATAGTAAAATAAAAAAGTTTATAAAAATTTTAAAATTGTAAAAAAGTTTTAAGAAAGTTTTAAAACATTTAAAACAATTTAATAAGTAAAAAAAGTTTTAAAATGTAATAAAAGTAACCGGGCCATATCCCCACACATGGTTGTCTCCAGTGAGGGAACAACTGCGATAAGTTTCTTTTAATGACCCACTAGAGTGCCGAGATAAGTGCATACCCGGGGTGACGCCGCAGTGCTGCTTGATCTTTAATAGCCCCGGCTGAGCTCCTGCGACCCATGGCCCTAATGCTACACGTAAAATGTAATAAAAGTAAAAAAAAGTAACAAAATACATAAAAAAAAATGCTCATTACCACTACACCTGGAACAAACTAGAGAAAAAATGATCCCATGCTAAGGTTCAAAGTAGGCCTTTTGAAATACCCTAGGGTGTATTCTTTAAAAAAGGGTATACATTTGTGGCATAGTTTGAATAGCCAACCCACTAAACTACTCCAAAATGAAACATGGATGCAGCATAAAAATTAAAAGTTTGAACTATATTGTACTCAGACAACATAGCTGAGCAACCTATGAAGTATTATACTGCCATAGCACACATAAGGTTTGCAGAATATACTCACTTTGTGTTTCAAAAAGGCAGAAAAAATGCTTATTACCACTACTCATGGTTCAAAATAGCTAAGTTTCAAAATATGCATTTTGAAATATCCCTGGGTGTATTCTTTAAGAAATCATATGTGTTTCTAGGGTAGTTTGAATAACCAAGCTACTCAACTTCTCCAAAATGGGACATGGACACATTGTAAAAATTAAAAGTTTGTAAAAAAAACTGGAAAAATTGTTTCTCAAACGTACCCCTTCAACATCCACATATACCTGGCAAAGCAGGGGTATTACTGTACTCAGATGTCTTAGCTGAGCAACATACAGTATCTCACAAAAGTGAGTACACCCTCACATTTTAGTAAATGTGTTATTATATCTTATCATGTGACAACACTGAAGAAATGACACTCTGCTACAATGTAAAATAGTAAATGTACAGCCTGTATAACAGTGTAAAAGTGCTGTCCCCTCAAAATAACTCAACACTCAACCATTAATGTCTAAACCATTGGTAACAAAAGTGAGTACACCCCTAAGTAGAAATGTCCAAATTGGGCCGAAAGTGTCAATATTTTGTGTGACCACCATTATTTTCCAGCACTGCCTTAACCCTCATGGGCATGGAGTTCACCAGAGATTTACAGGTTGCCACTGGAGTCCTCTTCCAGTCCTCCATGACGACATCACAGAGCTGGTGGGTGTTAGAGACCTTGTGCTCCCCCACTTTCCGTTTGAGGATGCCCCACATATGCTCAATAGGGTTTAGGTCTAGAGACATGCTTGACCAGTCTATCACCTTTACCTTCAACTTCATTAGCAAGGCAGTGGTCATCTTGGAGGTGTGCTTGGGGTCGTTATCTTGTTGGAATACTGCCCTGCGGCCCAGTCTCAGAAGGGAGGGGATCATGGTCTGCTTCAGTATGTCACAGTACATGTTGGCATTCATGGTTCCCTCAATGAAACATAGAAACATAGAATGTGACGGCAGATAAGAACCATTCGGCCCATCTAGTCTGCCCAATTTTCTAAATACTTTCATTAGTCCCTAGCCTTATCTTATAGTTAGGATAGCCTTATGCCTATCCCACGCATGCTTAAACTCCTTTACTGTGTTAACCTCTACCACTTTAGCTGGAAGGCTGTTCCATGCATTCACTACCCTCTCAGTAAAGTAATACTTCCTGATATTATTTTTAAACCTTTGTCCCTCTAATTTAAGACTATGTCCTCTTGTTGTGGTAGTTTTTCTTCTTTTAAATATAGTCTCCTCCTTTACTGTGTTGATTCCCTTTATATATTTAAATGTTTCTATCATATCCCCCCTGTCTCGTCTTTCCTCCAAGCTATACATGTTAAGATCCTTTAACCTTTCCTGGTAAGTTTTATCCCGCAATCCATGAACCAGTTTAGTAGCCCTTCTCTGAACCCTCTCTAAGGTATCAATATCCTTCTGAAGATACGGTCTCCAGTACTGTGTACAATACTCCAAGTGAGGTCTCACCAGTGTTCTGTACAATGGCATGAGCACTTCCCTCTTTCTACTGCTAATACCTCTCCCTATACAACCAAGCATTCTGCTAGCATTTCCTGCTGCTCTATTACATTGTCTGCCTACCTTTAAGTCATCAGAAATAATCACCCCTAAATCCCTTTAGGTTCAAAACATAAAAAACACAAAAAAATGGTCACTGTATGCTCTGATACACACAAAATACCTTAGGTTAAAGTGTTCCCTAGAGACACTCAAAATTACAAGTAATACAAAGAAAAAAAAACAAAAGGAGAAATTGTGTGTGGAATCACCAAAAGTGATAATAAATAGTACAACAACCTGTACAGTAGTCAGTATAATCTACCATAAGCACCATATATTTGGTGGAATAAAACACAAATATAGTGCAATACAATAAGCACAAGCAGGGAATGGGTGGTGGTAGAAAACTCACTAGAAAGTAGTAAATTTAGGCGTGTCTCCCTCATTATTAGGGTGATTGCGTAATTGCAGGAAATCTTCCAGCCATGGAACTCTTGGTATAGGAGTATCTTCTTGAATAACTCAAAATATAAGGAGAAAAGAGTTGCACTTACAATGTATCAGAAGATAAACAGCATGTCTCCACATCAAATAGTGGTATCCAGATTGTCAGCAGCTACTATAGCAGCATACAGAAGCACAAAACAATAATAAAAGAAATAAAAGTCTGTGCAAAAGTTGGATACTCCAATATTTAGTAGAGATTGTCGATGAAATGGCTACGTAAAAAGTGTCAAGATAACACTGGGTAAATATATTGCCTGTGATGTCTGCCTTATTTAAATATATACTTTTGTGTGGCAAATGATTTTTTTTGTGTTAGCTACTAAATTTACAAGACAAACATACTAGCTTCTAAAATTGTTTCACATGGAATTTTTATTTTAGTCCTTGTATTTTGTGACCTGTAACTTTCAAAATAAGCTGAAATCCTATACATATTAAGTACTCTATAAATCAACACACATAAATTAATTTATTTTGAATTACTTTTCCTAACATATTATGCACACATTATTGCCTAAGCTTTGAAAAAAACTGTTGTTTTTCCCCCCAATTATTTGGCATTTTTTATAATTTATAAATGTATGTGTGACATCAAATTAAAACTCTGTAAGTCCTCTAAAACAGTATGTAATATGTGCTGGTGCAATAAATCAGAGAGATGCAAATTGCAGTTGAACACAAACAGCAAACACTCCAGGCACCCAGACCACTTCTGCCCATTGGAGTGGTCTGGGTGCCAACTCCCACTACCCTTTTCATAAACTGCAATAATTACATTGCAGGGTTAACTCCTCCTCTAGTGGCTGTCTACTAGACAGCCACAAAAGGGCACTTCCGGGATTATAGCACAGATTTTCTGTGCTAAAGTGTCATTGTGAGGACCTCCAGCGCCGCTAAATTCCTCATAGGAAAGCATTAAAAGCATTTTCAATGCTTTCCTATGGGGAGGTCTAATGCACGGCATTGCCGCGCATGAGCATTAGGTCTCACCGTCGCCGGCCACGCATGCGCAATAGGTCTCCCTCGATGGATGACGTCGGCAGGGGGAGGAGCATGGGCGGACCCTGAACCAGCGCCGAGGGACATCGCCGCTGGATACAGGTAAGTCACTGAAGGGGTTTTAACCCCTTTAGCAACTTATGATGGGGGGTGGGAGGGAGGAGACCTGCAGTGCCAGGAAAATGGTTTGTTTTCCTGGCACTGGAGGGTAAGACAAGCTTCTGAAGCTGTGTCCTTAAAGGGACACTATAGTCACCCAGACCACTTCAGCTCAATGAAGTGGTCTGGGTGCCAGGTCCCTCAGGTTTTAAACCTTCAGATGTAAACATAGCAGTTTCAGAGAAACTGCTATGTTTACATTTGGGGTTAATCCAGCCTCTAGTGGCTGTCTTCCGGACAGCCACTAGTGGCGCATCTGCGACGCTAGAGGCACATTTCCCCTCTATCGCGCAGAGCGTCCATTGGAAAGCATTGAGAAATGCGCATTCGGCTCCGCTGACGTCGGCAGGGCAAGAGAGGTCACCAGCGCCGAGGGAGCCCAGCGCTGTATTAAAGTAAGCTGCTGAAGGGGCACCCTTAGGGAACTATAGGGTCAGGAAAACCGCTTTGTGTTCATGACACTATAGTGATCCTTTAATAGGTTAATTCTGACACATTCCTATTACTGACATATGAGGGGAGGACCTGAAAAAAATGGATGTGGTCAAGGTCAGATTTATATTAGAACCACCAGTAGTCACAGAATTCTCAAGTAGCTACAACCACCCCTTCCAATCTGAAAAAAACAAAAAACGGAACAGTTTAAATATGACAAGAATTGTTGTATATCTACAAATATAGTATATGTGTATGTGAATTTATAAGTTTGTGTGGTGTGTGCACATATGTAGGAGTGTGAGTACATGTCTATGTGTATGTCTGTGTATGTGTGTGTCAGTTTGTGTAGAGTGTGCAACAGAGTTGGTAGCAGCAATTGTAAAACTGTATGTTTAAAGTGTGGGCATCACTATGTGTGTGTTTGTATATGTGTAACACTGCGGGTAGCAGTATGTATGTGTAACAGTGTGGGTAACATCATGTTTAGTAGTATGTGCGTAGTATAACAATGTGGGTAGTATCCGTATGTGCAGCATTGTGTTGTGTAGTGCGAGGATAATGTGTGTAGCAATATCTGTGTGTAACCGTGTGGAGAGCAGTAAATGCAGTAGGGTGTGCGTAGGAGTGTAGGATTATATGTACCAGTGTGCGTATACAGTCTGGGCAGCAGTAAGTGTATGCACCTGTCATTTCTGATTTGGCCTTCCAAGTCACAGCCCTCTCCTTATAGGTCAGGGGTTCTCAACCCAGTCCTCAGGACCCCCTACCAGTCCAGGATTTGGGGATTACCTGGGTGTGTCTCAGGTGTTTAGAAAAAGGGGAAAAAACACCTTAGACTCTAAGGTGTTTTTTTTTCTTTTTCTAAACACCTTAGACACACCCAGGTAATCCCTAAACCCTGGACTGGTAGGGGGTCCTGAGGACTAACGTTGAGAACCCCTGTTCTAGGTGATAACTGTGTTCAGTCAGTGGGGGCGGGGCCATGCACAGATCACTTTATTCAGTCTGAAGGGGCAGGGCCATGCAAAGATCCCTGTGTTCAGTATGAGTGGGCGGGGCCACGATAGATCAGGCTCTTTAGACTGAATACAGCTATTCCAGAGTCCTGGTAAATCTGTAACAGTCAGCAAGCAACAGACACCAGGCAGGAGGAAGAGAGGGGAATTTTAACGGGAAGATAAGGCACCCCCATCAGCAGGACCATCCCAAGACCAAAACCACACCCACCAAGAAATACCCACTTCCATTATATTATATCATAATAACTAAAACTACTATGAAACTCATCAGGAAGTGCTAATGTAAAAAGAATAGAGTCTGGGTTGTGTGTGTATAAGGAGCTGTAGTTATATTGAAGGGTGGGCTTGTAGCTCTGTATAGCTGGACAACTGATCTGTATTCATCGTTTAAACGCTTACAGTGTTGCGGCTCCCTGTTGCACGTGACTCGCTGTTTTCTGAGCTCTCTGAATGGAACTATGGCATAATTTGCAAACAAAATTAACTTGCTATAAACAAATTTAATTTCCAAATATGCTAATTGATTATACACAATTGCGGGATATGGTTGCATAGCCTGGCAGTCGTATATTATGTATATGTGCCAGTGTAAAGAGGTTATTGGAAACATAAATGAAAATTTTGCTTGGACAAAAAATCTTTAAAAAAATAATTTACCAAATAATAAAGTTGCAGATAAGAAAATAGACATTTTCCTCACATATTTTAGAATCCTTTTACATCCTTTTATACTGACACAATGCAACCACTATTTTACATATTAGTAATTCCTGATAAATGTTAGTTTAGGTATATGTATGTATAATATATATGTTGTAATTTTACACTTTTGCATTTGCATTGCCCATACAATACCACTCTGACATTGCAGCCGTAGATACATACACACACACACACACATACACACTGATACATGCACATACATACAGACACAAATACACTGATGCACAGAGACATACACATTGACAAATACAGACATACTTTAACAATGTGTACACGGCTATATTTCTGAGTGTGTCTGACTGTGTATGTGCCTGAAAGTGTGTGTCTGACAGTGAGTATTTTTGTTTGTGAATGTGTGTCTCTGTGATCATGTGAATGTGTGTGTCTAGGACCATTTGTGTGTGGGGTAGCTGTTTGTGGTGTGTTGTGTGTAGGGGAGGGGTACTGCCTGTGGCCTTTGTGCATTGTGTTTATGGCCAATCTATGCTTTGTGACTGTGTGTATGATGAATGTCTTCTGAGAACCTGGGGCAGGATGAGTGTGAAACAGGGTTGGTGGGCTTACTGTGACAGAATGAGGGAGAGTGAGTGAAATATAGTTGGGGAAGGGAGTGAGACAGAGTGGGAGGTAAGCGTGACAAAATTAGTTTATTTTTTTGACAGGACAAGTATGGCATGGTTGGGGGAATAAGTGTGAGGGATTTGGAGGGGTGAGTTGTCAGGGTTGGAAGGGGAGTGTAACAGTATTGGGAGTGAGTGTGGCATGGTATATATAATGCAACACATCACTACATTATTCAAAGTGGTTTTGACCCAGAGTACAAGCCCCACTCACTACTGACCAAGCGTTCCCCCAGTCCACTGTAATTTATTTTGACAAAATTAATTTAATATATTAACCTTTACACTTTTAAAATACAAAAGTATTTGTCAGTCATTCAAAAAACTACATTTCACATCCCTGTCTCCTATAGTTACCTAGCATGAGGTCTTGTTTTGCCACATTTGTCCTATATTCAATGTATTGAATAATTGTAATTTAGTATTTTATAGTAATTTATTCTTCAAGCTTTACAAAGATAAATAACAGTGACCCAATGTGTGCTACGTGCAACTGTGTAAGAGACTCTAACACCCTGGTGAGGTTCCCTTAACCTTCACCAAAAAAGAGATACAAACACCACAAAATATAAGGCGGAGTATCTTACATGCACTTTCTTAGTAGTCCTTTACATAGGTACATTTCTTATGGTATGCTCTAAAGAAAGTAAAATAGCAAAAAGATAGTGCAATATTGCTAGTACTCTTATTTTTGTAAGTCCAATCAAGTCTTTATAAATGCACACTCACAAAGGTGGAGCCACTAAAGATTGGGCTCAAGTTGTTCACTTTATGGGATGTAAAGGGTCCCACTCCCTCCTCTGTGCTTCAGGTTCCTTATGCAGGGTAATCACAGGTTCACAGGCAAAATATAATAAAATTACATTTATTAATATAAACAAAATAAAAAGAATAATATTAAAAGACCTTACAAGCTCTGTTGAATAGTCTTAGTAGCAAAACGCGTTTCGCCCCTTCATGGGGCTTCCTCAGTTGCTGTAAATCTTCATAGATGACTCTTCATTTTTAAAAGCCATTTACTGCCGCTTTTTTTCCTCTCTCTCTTCATTTCCGGTTCGCCGGACTTCCGGTTTCCGGTCCTTGCGTTCCACCCTTGGAACGCACAGCCGCCATGTGTAGCTTTCTTATGAAGTGCCGATCTCTTTTCATCCAGGCTTTTGCGTTCCACAATTGGAACGCAATACAGGATTCCCCCAAAGTCTTTTGTTTAGAACATTTTTCACATGTTGTTTGTTGTTTAATTCTTTAGTTGGTTTTATGGCTAATTCTTATGTAAAAGCATATGATGTACACAGAACTCAATGTATAAAACAATAAAAAAGGAATGTAATTTCTATTTATAATATAAGAAGAAGAAGTGCTAGTACAAATTACAAAATATATATATATATAAATATAGAGAAAAATATGTATGCATAAAAAAGGAGGAATATATTTACATACACACCACTGGTTATAGAGGTAATGTCTAAATGTACATCAGACTCCTCATCTCTCTAAAAGGACAATATTTCAGCTAAAATATGGCAGAATTCTTAAATGTAAACCTCTATGTTATAGCATATAGGTATAATGAAAAAGTATATAAAATACAATCACTCATAAAAAAAAAAATAAAAAAAAAAATAAAAAAAAATATTTAATTAAAAGTATCGCTAAAAATGACATATCTCAAAATCAGTATTAAGACCATACGGGGCTAGGGAATTGAATTCGAAGATACACTTCATTTCTTCTTTTCCTAATTTTCGAATATAATCTCCTCCCCTCCAGTCCCTCTTGACCTCTTTAATAGCACAAAAGAATAAATTGCTTGGATTTTGATCGTGCACTTCTTTAAAATGGAGCGGAACACTATGTGTCTCCAGCCCATTTCTGATGTTCCTGATGTGTTCCGCAATTCTTACTTTCAGTGGTCTAATTGTTCTGCCTATATATAATAGGTCACATGGGCACTTCAAAATGTATATAATTCCCTTTGTGTGACAAGTTAGATGGTCCTTTATACAGTAGGGTTTTTTTACAATGTGTCCTATGTCTTTCAAATGTCTTTTTTTGCTATTAGTTGTTCTACAGGGTAGACAAGTCCCACATCCATAAAAACCTTTTAAATCCTCTAAAAAATGACTAGGTTTTTTAGGGCTAAGGCAACTCTTAACTAAAATGTTCTTAAAATTCTTTGCGCCTCTATAAATGATTTTGGGTTCCGGCTGTAAAACCTTATTGAGAATAGGATCATCTTGTAACAAATGCCAGTGTTTTTTAATTATTTTCCTTATTTGTTTATTCCGTCCATTATAATTGCAAATGAAGGGTATATTGTTACTATTTCCTTGCTCTTTTTTAGGTTTATATTTTATAAGCTCCTTTCTTGGTATTTCTTTTACTTCTTTAATATTTTTCTCTAAAATT